CATGCAACAGACAGGTGGATTAGAGGTACATTTCCATGGTGTTTTTTCGATTATGATGAATTTCAAAGATAGAAGAGATATTCAATAGAAAGCAAGATTCAAAGGAACAAATAATTCATCTATCTTTTTTAAGTCAGTTTCTTCACAGATATTGGAGTTATTTAATTCAACACCAACCAGCTTTGACAAATGATCCATCAACTGCTACATCAACTAATAATACTACATCCACAGCTTTTCCAACTGATAGGTTATCTTCAATATTAAGAAATGTTTTAAAAGTTCCAAATATAAATGCAGATACACCAATATCAAAAGAACAGTTTAGAATAATATTTTATTTATTCACATCAAATTCAGAATCAACAGCACCATGCCCAAATGGTTCTTATAATCTGTAAGTATTATTTTTTTTTAAAAATATTTTAATTAACTAATTTATTTTGTTTTTTTATTTTAAAATAGAGTCAAAACAATGATTAAACAATATCATCCAACAATTGACGAAAATTCATCATTTAATGAAAGTGAATTTGATAAAATTTATAATATTGTAATATCAACCCAACCTTTTTCTAATGACACTAATAATAATAATTCATCAGATTTAGAGCAACAAAGACAAATGCCAACATTATCTTGTAAATCTATAGAGTTATTGTTTTACTTGTATACCACCAGTATTGTGATAATGAAAGAGGAAAAAAATAGGGACAATAGAGATTTAAATGAACAAAACAAAGTAATTAACACAAACTAAAATAAAAAAAAATAAAAAAAAAATAAAAACTAAAAATAGAAATAAAAACGAACTAAAAGTGATATGTTTTGTTTAAGCATTTAATTTTAAAATACTATAAATTATATTTATTTTTTATTATTTTTATATAAATTATTTTTATTTTCTATTTTTTTTTATTTTTTTTTTATAATAGTTACCAATTTTAAAGGTTGATATGAGTCTGAAATTTAAGTAATCAAAAACTTAAATAAATAATAAATAAACCACGTCTTTAATATTTATTATAAAAATAACGTATGACCCTTATAAATTATTTTTTTATTTTTTTTTATTTTTTTTTTTTTAATTTTTTTTTAAAATTTTTTTTTTTTTTTATTATTAATATTACCCCCATTCACACTACTCATTTTTTTTATTCAAAGTTAAATAGTTATTATAGTTATAAAATAAATTTATAAAAGTTGTTTTATAAAATTATTTATATTTTTAATATTACCAACAAAAAATTATCTTGTGTTTTTTTTTCTTTTTTTTTAAATAGATATTGGATTCAAAATTAATATTATATTAATTTAATATATATACATAGACTTAAAAATGGCTTGGTTTGAAGGTGCAGAAATTAAAGCTAGAATTATTTATTTTATTTGCGTTCTTTTACTTGTATGTAGAATAGTATTCGGATATAGCATAAACAATAACAAACAAATAGTATTACAAAAAATAGTATTACAAAAAATAGTATTACAAACAATAGTATTATAAACAACAATATTATAAACAGTATTAAAATAACAACAGCATTAAAATAGCAAGCAAAGGAATATAGTCTAAAAGATAAATAGTTTTTAAAAAAGATCAAATAAAATATGTTTTGGTTTCTATAAATGACGAAATAACAATTTTGTATCTTTTAATAATAGAGATATCATTTACCAAACTAATTATAATAATTAATAGAAATATCAATAGCAATTTCGATAACAATATCAATAGTAATAATATAATATAATAGCAATTGAAATATCAATGGCAATATCGAAAACAATAACAATAGTAATAATTTAATAGCAATAATAATAATAATAATTTAATAGCAATAACAATAGTAACAATAATAATAATAATAATAATAATAATAATAATAATAATAATAATAATAATAATAATAATAAAAAAAATCAAAATATTAAATTTTTTAATTTTAATTTTAGGTTTTAGGTGTTCTTTCAATTTTTACAACACCAATTATCGGTTTTATTTTATTGTTTGGTAATGTTATTATTGCAGTTTGTGGGGCAGCAGGTGCTAAGTTTAACTCTCCAAGACTCCTTTGGTATTTTATGGCCGGTTTAGCAATTTTATGTGTTTTACCAATTATCTCAATTATTTATACAGTTATTAAGGATGGTTTCACTTTTTGGTTAATCGTAAATATTTTAACAATTGTTGTTTATGGTGCTGGTATTTTCCTTGCCTTCGTCTTGAGAGGAAGATCATTCAGATTAAATTCAGCCGAGACTGGTAACTTCCAAAAACTTTAAAATACAAAGAAAAAAAAGAAAAAAAAAAACAAAACAATAATCAAAAAATACAAAACAACTTTGTAAATTTAAAAAAATAAATTTATTTATTATCAGTTATATTTGACGATGTGTCTTTTTAAATATATTGTTGATTAAAATTTTTTTATTTATTTATTATTTTTTTTTTAAAGAGCAGGGGGAGTGAATAATTATTTTATTATTTTTTGGGGTTAAATATTTTTTATTTTTATTATTTTTATTGTTTTTTTTTTTTTGTTTAATTAATTAATTTAATGTTATTTTTTTTTTAAATAGCTTTTAATTATTTTATGTATAAAATGTTAACAGAGTTTCAATTAAGTTTTTATAAAAGAATCAATGTTGAACCAATATTAAATCTCAAATTCGAGGATTTGTTTTTAATTTTGGATGCTTGTTGCTCTACCTTTTCTTTTGAAAATTTAGATGTTATTCAAGATGATATTAAAGAGGTTACAAAAGAAACAATTTATAACCAGATAGTACTAAATGAAAATGGGGGTTTATGTTTTAAATTAAACGGTTTAATATATTATTTTCTTCAAGAAAGTGGCTTTAAAGATATTTCTTTGGTTACAGGAGTAGTTGTTAGTGGACCAAACCCAAATAGAGCCGCGGGTGCACATGTTGCTATTATATTAGTTAATGAAAATAAAAAATACTATATTGATATAGGTTTTGGCGGGTTTACACCTATTTTACCTATACAAATAGATGAAGTGGAAGAAATAACCAAAAGCAAAAATGGTTTGTTTAGAATTGTTAAGGAGGAAAACGAGGCAATTAATTATTTAGGAAAAAAACAATATTATACTCACAAGATGCAATTCAAAAAAGAAGATGATTATATTGATGAAAATTTAAAGCAATGGATTTCAACTTTTTTTTTCAATTTAGAACCACTTCAAGAGAGTTATTTAAATACATCCCAAAAAATTATGATAATTGAAAAAATAGATTTGGCTATTGGTCCAATGGTTTTTAAATTTATAGATGGCGGTGTTGCAACTCTAACCAGAAACTACCTTACAATTACAACTAATAATGGAAAAAAAACTAAAAACCCAATACACTCAAATGATCACTTTAACGAAATTTTAAAAAGTATTTTTAATATTAATAACCAACTAATATTCTCAAATAAAAATAAAAATGTTGAATGGGATTAAATAATTTATTTTTGCTATAAAAAATTGGCCTTATGGTTTTTTATTGGTGGTATAGTTTTAAAAAAAATAATATTAAATAAAAAAAAATAATAAAATTAAAATAGTTTATTGAATTTACAAAGTATTGCAAAATAGATTTTACATAATTTTTTTTTAAAGTTTTATTTTATTTTATAATTATTAACAATTTGTTCTAGGTGATCAGTTATCATAATCATCTAAATCATCAAAATCTTCGGATTCACTATCTGATGGGAATTTATTATATAACATTTTGTTTGAAATTGGTTTATTGTGTTGTTGGAATTGTTGGTGGTGATATTGTTGTTGGTGGTTGTGATATTGTTGAGTTTGATTTTGTTGTTGATGTTGGTGTTGCTGATGTTGTTGGTGTTGTGGATTTTCATCATTTGTAATCATTGATAATGACATTGGATTAACTTTTGGTTTATTATTATTAATATTATTATTATTATTGTTAAGAATATTATTATTTGTTAAATTTAATAATTGACGATCAAGTTTTTCTCTTTCACGTTCTCTATCACTTCTATCACTTCTGTCTCTTTCTCTGTTACCACTATGATGACCGCTTGTTGAGTTGTGATGTTCTCTTTCACTTCTATCACTTCTATCTCTTTCACGTTCTCTGCTGCTGTTGATTGTACCATTATTATCCCTGTCTCTTTCACGTTCTCTACCACTGCTGCTATGAATACCAAGTATATCCCTGTCTCTTTCACGTTCGCGTTCTCTTTCACTTCTTTCACCTCTTTCACGTTCTCTTTCACTTCTTTCACCTCTTTCACGATCTCTTTCTCTATGGTCTCTTTCGCTTCTATCACTTCTATCACGATCTCTTTCATTTCTTTCACCTCTATCTCTATGTTTATCTTTCTCTTTATATCTATCTTTTGATGGTTTATCGATCATTCTTTCGATCATTCTGTCAATACTCTTTTCTTTTTCTTTGCTTGATTTTTGTGGTTTTGAATGTGGTTGTGATTGTGGAGGTAGATGTGGTGATGATGGTGGCGAGTTTGTATTGCTAATTCTTGGAATAGAGTTGTTTGAGATTTTAGTAGAGGTTGTAGTGGTTGATGACGATTTATCTACAATTGGTAAAGACGATTTATCATTGATTCCTGATGGTTTTGGTTGTATTTGTGAATTATCTACAATTGTATTAATTGATGTTTGTTGTGTTGGTTGTAGTGGTTGTTGTGTTTGTTGTTGCTGTGGTTGTTGTTGTAGTTGTTGCTGTGGTTGTTGTGTTGGCTGTTGTGATTCATTTTGATTATCATTTGATAGTGATAATGGATCTTTAATTTCTTCAGATTTTTGGCCAATCAAAGTTGAGGGGGAGAGAGGTGGTTCTGGTTTTGGTAATTGGTTATTTGGAAATAGACTATTAAATAAATTTGTAAATAAATTTTGTAAAACAACAGCATCTTCAAAAACTTCAGAACCAGATTGATTATAAATTTGAGCATTATAAAACATTTGGTTAACACTTTGGGCAAATTGGGTAGGATTATGATATTTACTGGCAACAATTTTTTCTTTGATAGTTTTCATATCAATTGGGTCCCTAATAATTGTGTAATAATCTGGATAGTCTCGCTTGCTTGGTAGTTTCTGGAATATTTCGCTTCTTCTTCTACCCTCTTCGTCTTGATCCATACGAATGGAGTCCCATAATTGGAGATATTTCATATCATTTTCGGTAGTTGGTTTCTTTTTGAGAGTACCGGCTGGTCTGCCTCTACCTGCTTTCTTTGCTGGGCTTGGGCCTGGTAAGCCTGGAATAGCAGCGGTAGTTGATGATGAGGTACTAATAGGGGACATTGGAGTAGATGGAGTTGAACCATTGGATCTTTCATCTTCGAAATCTTGTTGCTGTTGTTGAATTTTTTTAGATTGTTTTGCAGATTGTTTTTTTGGTGTTGGAACGGTTTTTGCTTTCTTCTTTGATCTTTGTGGACGTGGGGTATCTTCGTCATCTTCTTCATCAGCGTTATCATCCTCGTAGTCGGAATAGATATCTAAATCTTTTCTCTTTTTACTTGGAGTTTCAACAGAAGCTGATGCCAATGAATTGTTGTTGTTACCATTCATACTATGATCACCATCTTTATCTTTTGATTTCCTACCACGTTTTGAAGGAGTTGACGATTCAAAATCGGAATCAGATTCAGAAGATGAAGAGTCTTCATCATCGTCACCGAAATATTCAGCAATATTTGTAGTAGTTCTTCTTCTACGAGCAATTTCACCATTTTCCATCATTCTTAAAATTTGTCTTTCGCTTTCCTCTTGATTCTTTTTACCTTTAACACTTGATGGATTTAAAACAAAAGAAAGATCATCTGTAACCTCCACTTCTTTAGTGATCCAGGGTGGCATTTCATTTTCTTGACATAGTCTCTTTGGTTCACCTTCTTTTCCCAATTCTTTCCAACGTTGTGAATCACGATCCATTCTTTCCTTATCCATTTGCTCATAAAGTTCAAATTCTTCTGGTGAACGAGCAATCATTTCGTTGATTTGTGAATCACTTGGTACAGTTTGTCTCTCCATTTCAGCAGTTTCATCTTGGGTCATTAAATCTTCAAGCATCTTTTTACGATCTGAACGATTTGATTTATTATTAAATTGACCTGCTTGAATAATTTTCTTATCTAGTTCTTTCTTGAAATTGGCACGAGCTAAAATATTTTCTTCAACTGAATGCAATGTAACCAAACGTAAAACACGTACAGTTTGCTTTTGACCAATACGATGTGCACGATCTTGAGCTTGAAGATCCATTTGTGGATTCCAATCACTATCGAAAATAATTACTGTATCAGCAGTTTGTAAATTAAGACCTAAACCACCTGCTCTGGTAGATAAAACAAAAATAAAATATTCGGAGTTTGGGGCATTAAATAATTGCAAAAGTGGACCTCTTTCTTCGGACTTTGTGCTACCATCCAATCTAAGATATTTGAAATCTCTGTATGCAAAGAATACCTCTAAAATATTAATAAGTTGAGTCATTTGGCTAAAAATTAAAACTCTGTGACCAGCTGCTTTAAGTTTTGGTAATAAACGATCCAACAAATCAAATTTACCAGCATATCTAATTAAATTGTCATCGATTGGATACTCTTCATCATAAAATAAATAAGGATGATTACAAATTTTTCTTAATTGCACATAAGTATTTTTTAAACCCTTTGCTAATTTTGGATTACCATCTAAACCACTACCGGCTGTAAACTAAAATTAAAATAAAAAAATAAATAAAAATTAATATCAATTTTTTAAATAATTGGAATAAATAAACAAATAAAACCTGTATACTTACTTTAGAAACGCCCTTATCTTTAATTAAGTCATACATCTTTTGTTGGAATGCTGACATGTCACATTTTAATACCTTTTCAACTTTGTCTGGAAGTTGGGCCTCTACTTCTTTTTTTAATCTTCTAAGAAGGAATGGTCTGAGTACTTTATGGAGACGTTGGATAATTAACAACTGTTCTTCTTCGTTCATTTCGATTTTTTCACCAGTTTGAGCAAAAGGAGCATTAAACCATTGTTCGAAATCTTCGACACAATCAAAAATATTTGGTAATAAAAAGTTTAAAAGAGCCCAAAGTTCTGGTAAACTATTTTGAAGTGGAGTACCAGTAAGTAACAAACGGTAACGACTATGATAATTTGTACCTAAAATAACTGAAAGTTTACTTGTATAATTCTTCATTCTGTGACCCTCGTCAATAATTAAATAGTTCCATTTTATTTTGCAAAGTTGATTCTTATCTTTAATAATGTATTCATAAGTGGTAACAACAACATTAAATTGACCTGGGGAAATTTCTTCCTCATATCTTGATTTTCTAGTTGGTTTATCACCATAGTATAAGACTGCTTTGATTTTAGGTGCCCATTTAGCAAACTCTTGACCCCAATTAGTTAATGTGGATAATGGCACAACAACTAAATATGGACCATTATTTTTCTTAACTTCGATTAAATACGAAACCAAAGCAATAGTTTGAATTGTTTTACCTAAACCCATTTCATCTGCTAAAATACCATTTAATTTATTGTTATACAACGAAACCATCCATTGAAGACCTTGCATTTGATATGGTTTTAATTTACCTCCTTCAAGAATTTGTGGTTGTTCGATAATATCTTCGAGAATAGAGTGAGCCTTTGAATAGTAAGAATGAGCCTTTGAAACATATGTGCCTGACTGTGGTTGTTGAGTATTAGCTGTTGTGGTTGTGGTAGTTGTTTGGACTGGTACAATTTGTTGGTTTGATGAATCTGATGTTGTGATTAATGACGATGATTGATCATCAGTTTCCATTTTATCACTATTTGTAGATTGTTGAATTTCTTTTTCATTTTTATCAACAGAATCAATAGTTTTATTTTCAGTGTCAGCATTTGACTCTTTTGATTCTTCGCCATCTTTTTTTTCTTGTTCGCCTTGTTGTTGGACGGTTACAACTGGTTGATCACCACGACTTTCTTTCATTTCAATGTCATTATCGTCATTATTTGTTATATTACTAATACTTAATTTTTCATTGTTGTCTTCCTCTAATTGTTGTTTTTGTTGAATAGCAAATTGCTCTTGTTGTCTACGAACTGCCTCTTCATTTTCTTCTTGTTCAATGATTGAAACTTTTTCTCTTTGTAAAAGATGAGAGATTTTATCTAAAAACTCATTTGTTTGATCGAAAAGTTCACGAAGTCTTTGATTTTTAGTTTGTTCCAATAATTTAAGATATTTACTTTCATCGTTGGTTTTAAGGGCACGTAGACGTTCACGCTCTTCCTTCTCTCTTTGTTGTTGCTCTTTCTTTTCTAAAAGAACAAAATAATTAGTTACACGCTTGGTCATCTTTTTAATTCTTGTCATCTTGTTTGCATGGAACTCTTTAAACTCTTTGCTATGGTTCATAATTTGACCAAGGAAATCTTTATATCTATTTTTCTCTTCGCTCTGTTGTTGCTCAAGTCTTTGTTTTTCTTTGGATTTACTCTTGTTTGATTTACTAGTTTTGGCAATTTCCGATTCTAAAACCTCTTTTCTTAATTGTTTTTGATATTCTAATAATGATAATTTCTTGTATTCTATTGTATCGGAAAGTTTTTCTTCTGAGCCCTCCTCAAGTGTTGGTATAGTTTCACAAAGAGTATCAATACGTTCGGCAATAATTTGATTTATTAAATTATTTCTACAGGTTTTAATAAAATCAAGATCAATTGGCTTTGGGATTAATGTCTCTCTTGGTAAAGTTTTAAGTGGGTCAATTGGTTCTGGCTCTGGCTGTGGTTGAGGTATTGATTGCATAAGTGGTTGTTGTGTCGTTTTATTTAAGGTATTAATATTATTATTTGGAGCTGCTACGGAATTAATATTATTTGGTGTAACAGTTGATACTGGTTGTAGTTGTTGTGTTGATGCAGTTGTATTATTTTGATTAATAATTGGTGGATTAATGGTCGAGGATTGTTGTGTTGCTAGTTGTTGTTGTTGTTGTTGATTAATCATATTTGGTGGCAATTGTGAATTAAGATTTGGTGTATTGGCGGCGTTTGGTTGTAATGATGATGATGATGGCTGTGGAACCGATGCTTGTTGCAATGGTTGCTGTTGTGAAACCATGGCAGGTGAACCAAAGTGTGGGTTTAAATTTTGGTTTTGTTGAACCTGTTGAGTTTGTTGAGCTATTATCCTGGCCTTTTGTAATAACTGTTGTTGGTATAATTGCTGTTGCAATAATTGTTGTTGATTTTGTGGTAAATTTTGTTGTGGTTGGGATGGTTGTGATTGGGATGGTAATGGTACAGTTGGTGATTGTTGTGGGGTGGAGCCTTGAATTGGTTGGGGTTGAACAGTTTGTTGTGTGGCTTGTGATGATTGAACGATTGGTTGGGGTTGAACAACAGGTTGCTGTATTGATTGTGCACTTGGGTTAGTTGTAGGTGTGGTTGGGTTAGAGAATGAATTATTATTTGCAATAGCAGATGGATTTAAGCCCAATATATTATAATACTCTTCTGGGATTGGTTTCTTTTGATTAAAACATTTATATGCATAAACCTGAGCCCTGATCGTTTCAATTTGCTCTTGAGAAAAGAAGAATTGAGGAACTCTAGCTTGAATTGGTTGTGTTTGGGAAACCTGTTGAGGCTGTGGTGATTGTTGTATTTGTGTTTGCTGTTGTTGTTGTTGTTGTTGTTGCTGTGAGGGTATAGATGGCGAAGCTAATGGATTTTGCTGTTGTTGATAGACCGGACTTGGTGATGCATATTGTTGTGGTTGATGTTGTGGAACTTTATTTTGTGTTTGTATTGGCTGCTGTACAATTTGTGGTTGTTGTTGTTGTTGTACAACGGGTTGCTGTTGGTTTTGTTGTGGAAGTTGTTGTGGTTGTAAATATTGAAGTTTTTGTTGTTGTGCAGCAATAGAAGCTTGGTATTGTTGGTATTGCTGTGGATATTGTGACATTTGTGGTGATTGTGGAATTTGTTGTTGTAATAGTTGCTGATGTCTTTGAGTTAATAAATTATGTTTGTGTAAAACTTTATTATACAAATCTAATTCGGGCTGTGTTAATTGCGCTAATGGTTGTGGGCTATTTAAAAACTGTATACAACTAATATAAATTGGATCTGTAATATTTGGGTTATTATTTTGTAATCTATCTAAATACTATAAAAGGAATAAAACAATGATTAGTATTTATATTCTTAAACAATAACAATAATAATAAACCATATGGTTAACTTACAACATAAACCTCAAGATATTGGTTTTTGGTAGGATTTGGGGCACTTTGTGTTTGTTGTGGCTGCACCATATTTGTCGCAGTTTGTAGAGGTTGTGATGGATGGAGAGCATGTTGCTGTAGTTGTGCTTGTTGTTGTTGTACCTGTGGTTGTGCTTGGGGTGCCGGTTTATTTATTATTGGTGAAACAGGTTGATGTATTTGTTGTTCCCGTACTTAATGTTGACGTAATTGCTGCTGATGAGCTTGCTGTTGGTGAAACTGTTGCTGCACATTCTGATTTGTTGATCGATAGATAGGGGCATATTATATGAAGGTTTTGGTTTAAAATCTTCTTGATTATTTTCTGTTTGTACCATTTTTTTATTGTTATTATTACTATTATTTATATTGTTATGATTTATATTTGTATTAGGACTATTTGTATTTATGTTAGGACTATTTGTATTTGTATTTAAATATGAACCATGATTATTTAATTGTTGTGATTGATGCTGCTGTTGTTGTTGTTGATTATAATCAATAGACGATCCAGCAAAGTTCATACCTTTTATAATCTAAAAACAAACTTTTATTATAACTTTATATAATTGCTGATAATATTCGCCAATATTATTAATTAATTATTTTGAATAAAGAATAATTAATTAAAATATCGATATTTAACTAATTAAAAAAAAAAAAAATAACAATTTGTTTTACTTAAAAAACCTATTATTGAATAAATAAAGAAGAATTTTAATAAAAGAGAGGGAAAAAAATTAGTATATCAGTTATTTAAAAAAGAGTGAAAAAATTAAAATTTTATGAGTGTACAAGATGATAATATGTGAGGGTTTTTTTTTTAAAAAAATAAATTATGTATTATTATTATTATTATCTAATCTAAATAAGTGTAATGTGGTTTGGTTTGTTGTCTTTTATTAATTTTGAAAAAAAGGTGTGGGTAATAAATTGTGTGTAGGTAATATAACAGAATCCAAAAAAAAAATTATGATGAATTTGAGGATGATTAAAATAATAATTATATTTATTTATAAATAAACCATTAATCATGGAGATGATGAAATTTATTCTGTTATTGTTGTTTTTTATTTTGAATTTAATTTTTATTTTATTTTTATTTTAATTTATTTTTAAAAAAAAAAATTTCTTACTAATTTTAATTAATTAATGAAAAAAACATAATAATGTATATAAAAAAAAATAATAATAAAAATTTAAAAAAATTTAAAAAAAAAAAAAATTTTAAAAAAATTAAAAAATAAAAAAAATAAAAAAAAAAAATTTTAAATTTTGACCGTTTGTGGTTTAATATTATATATGTATTTAAAAAAATATATATATGTAAGATGGGTGATATTTAAATATTATTTTATGATACATGATTAAAAACAATTATAGATTACTATTTGATTGGTTTTGTTGTTGCATATTATGATTATAATTATAATGTTTTTTTTATTTTATTTTTAAGATTGTGGAAAATATGGATAAATTTGAGTGTGAATTATCAATGGAAGGATAATATATTATTTATAATCAAAATAAAATATATATTATAAAATGATATTTCATATATATATATTATAAATTAAAAAAAATAAAAATTAAAATAAAAATAAAAAAAATAAAAATAAAAAAAAGTATATGAAATAAAAAAAAAAGAAATAAAAAAAAAAAAAAAAAAAATCCCCGTTATCAAAAAGATTTATTTATTTTTGTGATGATAGATATTTTTAAATATGATAACTACTATCACATGAGTTTTATTAATAATATTTTTATTTTTTTAAAAATAAAAAAAAAAATAAAAATAAAAACAAAAATAAAATTAAAAAAATTAAAAAAAATAAAAAATTAATGGTTATTTTTGGTATCTATGTCGTGCTTGTAAAATTATAAAGCAATGATTATATACACTATCTATATATGTTATGTGGGTGATATCGAGAATGTGTGTTGAATGATATCGATATTTAAAACTAAAATATCAAAAATAAAAATAATAAAAAATAAAAATGTTATGTATAGCTACTTACTTTTTTTTTTTTTATATTATATGAAAAAATTTATTTACCAAACTAATATAAACTATTATTATATTTACAATAAAAAATAAACAAAACAATATATTTAATAAATTATATTATTTTTTTTTAAAAAAAAAAATATAAATATTTGTATATTTATATAATAAAAATAAATAAATAAATGGTGAGGAAAAAAAATAAAAAATAAAAATAAAAATATAATAATTTATACAATAAAATTAAATAAATTAAAATATATACCCTATAAGGTATTATTTTGCTATATTAAGAGAAAAAAAATGAAGAACTTGATCGAAGTGCAACTTTTTTTTTTTTTCTATGCTTTGTGTGTTTATTATTATTGATTTTTGTGTATTAATTTAAAAAAAAAAATTTTAAAAATAATTTAAAAAAAAAATTTTAAATAAAAATAAAAAAAAAAATAAAAAATTTAAATAATTTATTTTTTTTTTTATTTTTTTTATTTTATTTTTATTTTTTTTATTATTTTATTTTATTTTTTCATTTCTAAATTTAATCAAAACCATCATGAATTTAATTGTGGTGTGTGTTGTGTTTATCTATAATTTAATTATATATCATTAAACCTAATTGGGGTAATGGTAAATATCACATTATTGAGGATGTTAATATGTCTTAAATATCAATAAAAAAAAAAATAGAGTAGGTTGTGGGTGAGTGTGTTAATTTAGACAATAATATTTTTTAATAAAATCAATTGGCGCATTAAAAAAGATATCATATGACGTATTTTTTTTATTTTTATTTTATTTTTATTTTATTTTATTTTTTTTTTTGTTTTTATTTTAAACAATAAAATTCTTTTTACTTTTTCGCATCCATTCAAAAATTTAATTTTTTTTTTTTGTTTTTATTTTAAACAGTTTTATTAAAAAAAAATATAAAAAATAAAAAAAATATATTTATATTCATTTATTAATATATTAATAAATTTTGTTTGCATGTAGATGTATAAATAGAATGAAGTGGGAAGTGTATGGAGTTTTTATTATTAATATTTTAAGTTGTATTTTATTATTTATTTCTTTTTTTGTGAGTATTTAAAATTTAAAAAAACAATATCTTGTCCAGATTATTAATTAATTTTTTTTTTCTTTATTTAAACAGACATACTGGTATCACGAATCAATTAAAAAAGATGGTACCTATTATTTAAATTATTACTATGGATTGGTAAATTATAAAGATCAAGATAAAATTAAAGTGTATTCAGAAAAGGAGGAAAAGGAAATCAAGAGGATTTTGGACATGCTCAGCTCCTCCTATGTTTGCCATATTGTGTTTTGTTTTT